GAAGGAAGGTGGGCTGCACGTGCCAAACTTACACATCAGGAAACTTGCTAGTAGCACTGGAATAGAGTATCAAGTGTTATGTTAGTGGCACCCCTTTCGTTCTTCAAGAAACATCTGATGTGGGAAAGAAGTGTTTTCCCCTAAAAAGGGAAATAGAACAGAATTACAAGAAACAGTCTCTCTTATTTGAGAAATATTGAGTTCAAATTTCTGAGCTAGATTTGCTGGGAGATTCATAAGTGAATCAGAGGTGGATGCTGCCTAACAACCAACCACTAACATTTGTAACATATCCATATATGTGAACGTGACATATTTTAGCTTTCTTGTTACTGTAGTGCTTTACGCCAGGTACCAATTTTTGTACTACTATAGATTAGGCTTGGTTTGTGACCAAACAACCCCAAATATCTCAATGACTTAGGACAGCATAGACATATTTCTCATTCATGTTGCCACATGTGTTGGCTGAGGGCTCTTTTCCATTTTGTCCTGACTCTAGGACCCTAGCTGATGGAAGGAGCCACCATTTCAGATATTGTTGGTATGATAAAGAGGACCACAAAATTCTTTGTCACTCTTCTCCCTAGTTTTCATCAAGAGGTAGAGTTTATGCCCCCTCCCCTGGGAGGAGAAAGACTTGGCCACTCTAGCATCCCAGTTGAGCCTCCAAATCACTCCAGCTGCAGAAAACACCTGGCTGGAACCACATGAGAGACCCAAAGCAAAGTTAGGCAACTGCCCATAAGCCCATTCAACCTATAAAACCATCAGAGATAATAAAATGGTTACTGTTTTAAGCTACTAAGATTTGAGGTGGTTTCTTATATAGCAATAGATAACTAAAACATTCCATTGGTGCATCCAAAGGAGAGACCAAGCAATTGCACACAGGTTCTTAAAGCTTTTGTTTGGAAGTGACACAGATCGCTTCTATTTCATTGGCTATGCTGAGTTCAGAGGAATAGGGAAATGAAAGTCTACTATGTGAGTGGGAAAATAAATGAAAATATTCATATGACTAGCATTTATATTTCCTAGAGAGGACATGGCTAGAGAGGTACATTTTCCATAAAGATAAGTAAAACACTAAGTAGATGAAATCTTAAGGGAAAATGAGTAACAAGAGGAGAAAAGAATGTAGATGACAAGAGATGCTTGTAGAGGACCTCCTGGCAAGGGAGGATAGGTCTAAGGAGGGAAAAGAAGGTGGAAGAGTCAGGAAAAAAAAAAAAAATCTACAGAGGCAAAAGGAGAAGTCTTAGGATCCAAAGAAGAGCATAAAACAAAAGGCTAAAATTGGTGGTATAGGTAAGGAATGCACAGAAATTCAAAGAAAGAGATCAGTGTGGGTTGGTGTAGTCATAGGCATGGGACAGAGGTAGTATTAGAAAAGGAAGTGGAAGGTAACAGAATTTGACTTGTTGGAGAGAGAAGGATATTCTCAGTGAGGAAACAGCATGAGTGAATTCTTCGAATGGGGAATGAACTTAGCAGTTGAGGGGAAGAGGACTAGGTATTGTAAAGGGAACTATATCACTGCAGAACAGAAAACGTGGATTAGGTTTGCTGTGGCAGGAGAGGGCAGAGAAGCCGTTTGTGGATTTAGGGAGGCCTTTGAGTGCCAACTGATTTCTGAGTTTTTTCCTTTAAAAAGCTGAGCGTCACTGGAGATAGGTGTCTTGAGTAAAGGAAGTCAGCATACAGGACTGATTCTTTCATGGGGGAATGAAGGAGGAAAAGACAGAGTAGGCCACCAGTCAGCCAATTATTGCAGTATTCCAAGGAATATCCTATTGCAAGAGATCAGATCAGGAGGCCTAGAATAAGTTGCTCAGAGGACAAAAAGAATAAAAAAGGAAGGGCTTTGAGTGTGGAGCAGCTCAGATATTTATTTTATCAAGGGTGTAAAAGAAAACATTTTTTATTCCCATTCTAGACTATGTTGGTCACCCACCCAACATTCCCTACCCTACTTACTTCCTTGACAACACAACTCAGTACTGCTCAATTCCTCTCTTCCCTCCACAACAATCAGGGAAAGGAAACCTACACACTCATAACTCAGCCCCAAGGTATATCCTGTTGGGTCTTGGCAGTGCGTGGTTCTCAACCAGTACCAACTCTATAGGGAGTGTGTGTGGTGTGCAGGGAAGGAGGGCTTTGTTCTTGTTTCGTTTTCTTTTTGGTGTTACAGTACCTGGAGCGCACCACTGATACTTAGTGGAAAGGAACCAACAATGCTAAAGGTTGGGTAATGTACCCCACAGTCCTGCATAAAAACTGCCAAAAGCTGGGGAAACACTAACCAGTCATGCTCTTTGTCAGTTACTGCTTTACAGAATAGCTAGTGACCCAGTTCTGGTCAGTAAGACATAAGGAGTGGCCTGCTATGAGGAGGGACCCAGAAAAACCAGAATTATCTTCTGGATGGTGGGTCTCTTGTAGGACACGCTTCCCCCGCTAAGTGAGTGTTCTAGGAACCTGTCTGCATCAGTGGACCAGCTAGTGTTGTTGTGAGAGGTTGTGCTCAGCTTCACTAAATTTTTGAAGACTTTTCAACAGGTTTGCCAATTTTATGATGGGCAATTTACAAGTGCACCTGCCCACACCATGTCGAGTGTTCAGCAGTTTTTGACCAAAAATAGCATGACCCTCATGCCCCACCCTCCCTAGTCCTTAAAGGGAAATGTTTTGCCAATGTGGAGGAGGTGAAACAAAAAAAGGCAGAAGCACTAAAAGGCACCAAAATTGACAAGTTCAAAAACTGTTTTGAGCAGTGGAAAAAAAGTCTTGATAGGTTTGTCACATCAACTGGAGAGTACTTTGATGGTGACTGAGGTTTAAACACTTAAGAATATGCAATTTTTAATAAATAAATTCTGGCTTTTTAGGATCCCTCCACATAAAAAGCCTCTGGGGTGTTTTTCGTCAGTGAATGTTGTCCCAACTGTATGACACCTGGAACTGCTACAGCCATCTCCTCCCCCAAAAGCAGTTTCTTTCTCAGTCTCCCTGTTTCCATCAATGGCACCTCCATTTCATGTTACCAAGTCCTAAGACAGTTTTAATTTCTAATCCTTAATTTTAGGATGATCACTCATTCAGATTTGTAAAATAGCAATGTGATCTTACTCCTGTTCTTCCACTGTAATTAACAGTACCCTCTTTCAGTTCTAAAAGTATTACAGATTGGAGGAGGTTAGATTTTATGGCCGCTTACTTATTCCCAATGAAAACCAGTTCACTCTGCCTCAAGAAAATACATCTAAAGCAAGGATCAGCAAACTAGGACCTGTGGGCTGTTTTTGAACCTTCAGGGAGACACAAAATGGTTTTTACATTTTTAGATGATTGGAAAAAATTAGTAGAATGATATTTCGTGACACCGAAATTATATTAACTTAAAATTTCAGTGTCCATAAATAGTTTCCTTGGAATCCAACCATGGCGATTCCTCTGTGGCAACTTTCTCACTACAAGGCAGAACTGAAAGACGACACCTACACTATTCACGTTTGGCCTTTTATAAAAAGTTTGCGGACCCCTTGAGGAAACAGGTTGATTTTCCTCACTTGCTGCACAAACACGGTAGCCTACTAACTGGTTTCCCATTCTTTCCCACGCTCCACTCAGTTTGATCCTGTCATTTGGGCTTTCTTTATCTTCAGTAGCTCCTCCAAAACCGCCCTTGTATGGTCCACGCCCATCCCTGCAACTACAGGCTATAACTAGTTCTCGACTTTGCTCCTCTTCACTGCCGAATTCCCGACGCGCCATTCCTCTTACAAGCCCTCTTTAGCTCCTTCCGTGCGCCCCCACTGCTTGCCCAGGTCTCTTCTGCACCCGGTCGGTTCCTCATGTTTAAGGACAACTGTTTTATTCCCTTAATACACCTTCATTCATCTATCCATGACACCGGAAGTGCACAACAGGGAGCTGTGAGGCCCGGGTTTGTGTGGGGGATGGGGGGTGGGAGTGGCTGACTCAGCGACACAAAGAAAACACACCTGAGCAGGAGACAGCCTGGCTGAGGTGAGGGGCCTCTAATGAGGCTTCAGAGGTGACCTTTAGGCCGGCATTTTAAGAACTAGAGAGGACAAAATTCTAGAAGCGCGACTTCATCCCACGCACTTCACCACCTAAGTGAAAATTCTACAACAGCGGCCTTGGCCAAAACGACCAGGGAGTGGCTGCGCGGTGCCAGCGCTGACAGCCCGTAGATTCTGGACGCCAAACCGCCCAGGTGCGGGCTCTGCACTCTCTCCGCGCCAGGGAGGCCATTTCGTTGCCAAAACTTCTGGGAAGCAGCTTTGTGCGCCCACGTTCCCGGCTTCCGAACAGGCGCGACGGCGCCCAGGAGAGAGAGACGCCCCTGGCCAGTTTGTGCGAGCGAACTCTGTCGCGGCCTCCCACAAGCCACCAGCCCGCGCACTCTGAGAGGCGCTCCAGCCGGGCCCCACCTCCGCCGCTGGCTCGGAGCACGTGAAGCTCCTGGGCGGAGCGACGGCAAATAGGCGGGAGTTCGCGGACGAGAATCTAGAGGCTGGAAGGGAAGCGATGCCGGGGCGCAAGCGCACACCGAAGGGCTAGGAGAGCGTGCCTCCAGGAGGGGTTACGGGGATAAGCCGAGCGCGTGGCGCTCCAGAATCCGCGCAAGCGCATTGGTCTCGCCCCGCCCATGCGCGCGCGCGCGGCGCAGCATTTTTTCATCAGTCCCGCCCCGCTCTTCTGCTTTAGCGAGCAGAGGCCAGAACTGAAAGCAGGAAAATGTGGGGCGAGGTGGGCGGAGCGTCGCTCGGTAGCGCGGCCAGCAAAAAAGGGGAGGGGGCGGGAGATCCTAGACAACGTTACCCCGTCAACACCCAATCCGGAGCTGGCATTGCCCCGCCCCCTCCCCTCACTCTATTGGCTGGAAGGCCCCCCAGATGGGCGGGGCTTGCCGTGGGGTTGGGGAGGGCAGGGGGCGGGGACGAGGAGGAAGGTGCTGGCGGGCAGTGATGGCGGCGGGTGATGGGGACGTGAAGCTAGGCACCCTGGGGAGTGGCAGTGAGAGAAGCAGCGACGGCAGCAGCGGGAGTCCGGGCAGCGCGGGAGCGACAGCAGAAGGGGGCGGCTGGGTGGCAGCGGCGTTGGCGTTTCTGACGGGGGGCGGGGAGATGTTGCTGAACGTGGCGCTGGTGGCGCTGGTACTGCTGGGGGCCTACCGGCTGTGGGTGCGCTGGGGGCGACGGGGTCTGGGCGCCGGGGCAGGGTCGGGCGAGGAGAGCCCTGCCGCCACTCTACCGCGCATGAAGAAGCGCGACTTCAGCTTGGAGCAGCTGCGCCAATACGACGGGTCCCAGACCCCGCGCATCCTGCTCGCGGTCAATGGGAAAGTCTTCGACGTGACCAAAGGCAGCAAGTTCTACGGCCCTGGTAAGGAGAAGCTGGAAGGGGAGGGGAAGGACACCCACTGCAGCCCCAGCGCTACCCCCTTTTTGATGCGGAGGTCCCTGGGCCCCGAGTTAGTTGGCCCAGCCTTCTCCAAGTGTGGACCTCCATGCCTTGGCTGCGGCACCTAGGACGGTCTGCCCCGCACACACCCCTAGCCGCGGGCACCTCCAGCTTGCCCCCTAAAGTCGGGAGCCCAGTGACGCCCCAGGAAGCAGCTCTCAGCTTTCACTTAATCCCATCCCATTTCTCCTCGCAGCCTTTTCTTGGGCTGACTTTTTCAAAACCCTTCGGTTGTCTCCAGTCACGCCTGGCCCCTCCAGCTTTCCCGAGCTGTCTTATTCGTAGGATAGGTGGGGGCAGGGGAGATTTCCAAAGGAGGGACCTCAGGCTCTAGGCCCTGTAATTGAATTTTCCTTTCTTTACTCTTTGCCACCGAATCACCCTTTTCCCACTACTACTCCCCGTAAGGCTACCTTTTAGTACACATAGTTCCAAGACCCAACCCTCTAGTCTGTGAAGTCTGGGCATTTAAGCAACATCTCAGACTTTTTTTTTTCTAACCAGTTTTTATATAGAGATGCTTTCCAAGATTAACAATGTATGTGGGATGAGGACAGACCAGAATGCAGATCTTAAGAAGGACTAGGAAGGGTATTCGCCCAGAGTTTTGGGGGTGGAGCTCCTGTACCCGGCAGGCATATCAGTCTAGTCTGGTCTCTTGTAGTAGGAAGGCAAGTGTTCAAAAACCCGTTGATAGTGACCTGTGTTTTCACAGAAGAGAAAAAACTTTAAAAAGTTATAAATTCATACCCCCATGCAGCAGTTCTGCAAGTTAAACATATTTAGAACTTTGCTTTCAGAGAATTGTGTGTGTAGGGTAGTTGATGTATTTCCGATCTTGCTAATAAGCTTCAGTTCAAACTCATGGATCCTGTTGGTGTACCATAAAATTGAACAATATTGTACATCCTGGTTGTGTAGTAATTAATTCTAAGCTTTAAAAAAGTGACTCCAATAAAATAAGTAATTGAATTAGAGACCTAGAGTGAGTTATTCAAAAAGCACATCAAGCCTTGGAGTCAAGGGGGTTGGCAAGTCTTAAAGACAAGTTGGTTTCCTCTTTGATTCAGTCTATTGGTGCATGAGATTGATTTACACTTGCAAATATATACTTCGGATTTTAGTGCTGGGTGGCTGGAAAATAGAAGTGCTTTGGTGAGTTAATTAGAAGGAATTGGATATTTTATGTATTGAACTGTTTTAGTTTGTATTTTTGTGTGTATGTCTACATTCAACCTTACTGAGTCATAGATAGCTTATAAAGTCTTTGCTTCCAGTTATACGAATATGAAAAACAGATGGCTTATATCAGCTGAAATAGTTAATACATTTTTGTTTACTTAAGAGCATGTGAGACAAGAAAGTAGGGCCAAAGTACAGTATTTAGACGCACAGATGAAATTAAATATAGAAGCTAAACTTTTTTTAGTAAGGATTTGTACCTAAAATTTTTCCCCATTGATATTAAAATGTGTTCAGTGATTAGAAATTTAGATTTTTTTAAATATAGAGCTTACCCAACTAAAAGATATGCTTTTGTAGCCTCTGTCTAAACTGACAGTGAGGCAAACAAAGTTTTAGTGCAAAGAAGCATATTTATTCTCACACATTATGCCTTGCCACTATCTGAAAATAGCTAAGGGAGACAGTCATAGACACAGTTTGGCAGCCTCCAGTGGCAAATGTTCTGACACAGAAATTAAAAATTAAGACAAGAGTCACAGGGGTAATGTAGATAGCCCTTGTATGGCTTGAGCGGTGAGGGGACCCCTCACATAACAGTTTTAGGTTAGCCTCCACCGATTCCCAGGTCCTGCAGAGCAGCCCAAGAGTGATGGTCCATTATTTTATTCTAGGTATTTATTGATCAACAACCTAATAGAGACATTCAGAATATTTTATTTTTGAAAGGAACCTTAAAGGTAGCTAGAGCATCTCATGGGCTTGGAATGTGTAAAACACGTAGCATTTTGCAAAAGTCTTGAAGCCAAATTTCTGGCTATGAAACAAGTTCAGTTTTTGTTTTAATTTTTATTTTTATCCTCAAGTCAATTAAGCAGTTCTCTAGCAGGATAATTCAGAAGCAGTAATCCTTATTTGAGAATCCTAGTAGCTTGAAAGAATGAGCTGAGAGCGCCAGAAAACCTAGTTTCTGTGTCTAGCCAGTATCTACTGCCAGTTTACAATAATGGTTTTAGAGTTAAATATTGTTTTCTGAGGTTTTTTTCCTATGTTAAAGGTGTGTTTTAGGGACATTTTAAAGTTCAGAATCTTAAAAAAATTAAATATTGACAATTTAGTGGATAAGCACATGCTGGCAAACAGTTGACGTTGACTACATTTGTTTTACATTAAATTTAGTAACAGTTCATGCACTTGGTCAGCAAGTGAGGAAAATGGTCATGTGAGAACCGGTGAATGTGGGAGGAGAAAGGAAACCAGGTTTGTTAAGCACTCCACTATTCAATACATTAGATCCATTAATTTGTCATCGAGACAGCGCCGCAGGGAGGTTAGTAGGTATTCCTGTCCTTCAGATGGACGAGCCTGAGGTTTTGGTACATTGGCTTGGCTCACACAGACAAGGCATTCAAATCAAGATGTATTTGACCACAAAGGCTATCTGCACTCTTTCAGGTAGACTGCTTTTTCAGATACACTTGTAGAGAATCTAGCTAACTTTTTTTTTTTAATACAGTCTCCTGGTTCCCACAAGCATTTAAAGCCTCAAAGAAACACACTTTCATGGTTGTATATTGTGCTGTCCAATATGGTAGCCACACACTTTTTAAATTAATTAGATTAAATATAATTGCGAATTGAGTTACACGGTCACACTAGCCACATTGCAGGTGCTCAGTAGCCACATGGCTACCATATTGAACAGTGGATTCTATCGGGTATTTCCATCTCTGAAGATATTCTTTTACAAATGTGGAAATAAACTCAGAGAAGTTTTGCCCAAAGTCACATATTTAGTAAATGTCAAAACTAGAAATCAAACCCAGTGTAACTGGTTTCATAAGCCATTCCTTCATGTTGTATAACAATGTAATTTCACGGGTTTGCAGAGTCAATAGAATAGGAAGATTCAAACAGTATAATTTTAAGTAGTTTGATTTAATATTACTGCAGTGGAACTCTACTAAAAACAGCTTCTTCATGCTCTAGGATGGCAAAAGATCATACACAATTTACCTTTCTAATTGTTTGTCCCATGTTTCTGAAATTTAGATCTATTACTTTCCCCTTATTCTAGGTAGAATATTTTGATATATATCAAAGGTGTATTTTCTTCCATTTAACTTTAATTTTTTTTTAATTTATTGATTGATTTTAGAGACAAACATTGATTTGTTGTTCCACTTATTGATGCTTTTATTGGTTGATTCTTGTACGTGCCCTGGTGAGGGATCACACACAGACATACACTCTAACCAGCTGAGCCACCGGCCAGGGCTCAACTTAACTTTTAAATTACAATGGAAAGAAAAATAAGTCATACATGAGAAATACCTGATGAAACATCTAACATTTGGGAGATTGGCGAAAGGAAGACATTTACCTTTTGAGTGTTTTTCTTTTTTCTTTTTTTTTTTTAACTTTATCTTCAATATGTTCATTTATAGTTTGGAAAATTGCAATTGGAACAATAGTTGTGACATACTGACCAGGCCCAGCCAGTCCTACTCCTTCATGGGTGTCCAGCTGACACGCCCCAGCTCTTGTCCTGGCTTCTTGCTTTGAAGCCATCTGGGTCTGTTGTTAGGGCTTAAAGCCCATTCACATCCATTGCCTACCAGTAAGATAAAAGGGTCAACTTGGTTTTCTGATGAATTTTAATAGTCCGCTCAAATGTATGCTAGTTTTTTCTACAGTACCTACTTGGTTGGCTCCTCTGAGTTCAACAACATTCTATTGTTTTTAATCCTTGAGGAAATTATATTTGTGTTAAATACTGTTGCGAATTATAAAAGGATAGCTTAAAGCACATATGAGGGCAGATGACTTTATTTAAAACCTGGAAGAGAGATTTAGTAACATCTGGAGTTAGCCATTCACATTCTTTTAATAGTTCTTTCAATCCATGAGATAGCGCACTCCTTGCCACCCCCGTACCCTTGACAGACATCACTGTATTCTTAGAACCTGTATCCAGATCCATTTTTAAATCCTAAGGAGTTGCTTGATTTCATTACAGTGTTACTTCCTGGTCTTCAGATTTGACTTCAGCCTTTGTTTGATTAGTATTACCTCTGTGTTTCTTTTCCATCCTTTTACTTTCCATCAATCTGTTATGTGGGGTGTTTCCCCCCCCCCCTTATAAATAAATTACCAATAGCCGGATTTTTTTTTTCCCAATTGGATTTAGTATCAATACTCTGTCTTCTAACAATTTAATCAATTTGTTTTGCCATTACTAGTTACTTAGATTTATTTCTACCATTTGAGTTACTAATTTCTCTTTGCCATACTCTTCTTTGCTTTTTTGCCCGCTTTTATTTTTTCCTTCTCAGATCAGTTTTTTAAAACTACTTTCACTTTTTCTCCCCTACTGATGTGGGTGCATTCTATTTCCATTCTTTTGGTGATTTCCTTAAGTTTTTGCTAGAGGCACTGTTCTTCTGAGTATAAGAATTATAGCCAAATATTTTTGTGTGAATTAGGAAAAAAAACTCTTTAAAGCAGTTTACTGGTATTTGACAGAATATTTCTTAATAAAAACACAATACTCCCATGTATACAGACAGATGGTGTCCCTTGGAATTGGGCAGTATCCCACCATATACCATTGGCCCTGGTTAGAAAGACTAACTCTGATCTCTCCCCTGATCCTATTCAGTGTTATTCCTATTAGACTTTTAGTTCCACTCTATTTTTTCAAACTCCACCCCCAACTTGGTTAAATTACTCTTACCCTT